TAAAAAACATATTATATATAAAACATCACATTGTATATAAAAGTATATTATAGATATAATTATATTATAATATATTATATTATATATAAAAGTAAATTATATAAATAAATATATAATTGTAAACTATATATTAAATTATATAAAATTACATTATACTATATTATATTATATATTATAAATGAAATTATGTTTCATATATAAAATTATATTATATTAAAAATGATATGATAGAAATTTACATATTATATAATATTATATTATATCATATTACTTTATATTATATTACATTACATTACATTATATTACATTACATTACTTTATATTATATTACATTACATTATAGTAGATTATTAAAATATTATAATACTTACTATTAGAACATTTTAAGAATTCTAATATACATAATTATATTATAATAGTATATAATATACAAATAACATAATAATATTAAAATAATACACATAATTAATTAACATTTAGTAATTTAATAATATTAAAATTCTTTAATAATTACAGTAACTTAATATTATTATAATTATTAAAAAATATTATAATATCGAAATATTATATATAAAACATGATATATTATATATAAATATATAAAATATTATAATATTGAAATATAACATATATATATGTAGTATATATATATATAATATATGTGTATTTGTATATATATATATGTAATATATATGTAATATATATGTATATATGTATATGTTATATATATGTAGTATATATATATGTAATATATATATGTATATTTGTATATATATGTATATATATGTATATGTAAGATATATAAGTATACATATATGTATATGTAATATATAAATGTATATGTATATATATATGTATATGTAATACATATATGTATATGTTCTATATATTATCTATTCTATCTAAAGCTAGTATATTCCCTATAAACCACAGCCATAAACCCCACCTACCCAAGCTGAGCACGAGTTTGTTGTCCCGGGCGAACTCTCCTGCGCGCGGCCCCATCAGGAAGTGCAGCAGCATCTCCATGCCCAGCAGCTGGATGGAGGGGCAGAGCTGTGCCCCTGCCGGGCTGCCCAGCGCCGCCCTGGGCGTGCCTGCGGGTGCCACAAACACCAACACACCTCAGCCAGGGCACAGGAACGGGAACACCCCAGAAATCCCAGGGAAAACCCCAAATTCCTCAGGAAAAGGGCAAACCATGGAGGGTGGCTGGCTGGGAGGCAGCTCTGACAGCCAGGGCTCCCAGGGAAGCAGGGTTTGATATCACAGATGGATTTTAGCCAGGATTTTAAATTTCTGCCCCAAAATTGTCAGCTCTAGGACACCAAATAAGTAGGGTTTGATATCAGAGCTGGATTTGCCCCAGGATTTGAAATATCTGCCCCAAAATTGTCACTTCTAGGACACGAAATCTTAGAAAGGCACCTCTGAGAACCAGGCTTCTCAGCAAAGCAGTGATTGATATCACAGCTGGATTTCTCTCAGGATTTGAAATATCTGCCCCAAAATTGTCAGTTCTAGGACATCAAATAAGCAGGGTTTGATATCACAGCTGGATTTTCCCCAGGATTTTAAATTTCTGCCCCAAAATTGTCAGTTCTAGGACATCACATCTTATAAATGCACCTCTGAGAGCCAGGCTTCTCAGCAAAGCAGGGTTTGCTCTCACAGCTGGATTTTCCTCAGGATTTTAAATATCTGCCCCAAAATTGTCACTTCTAGGACACCAAATAAGCAGGGTTTGCTATCACAGCTGGATTTTCCCCAGGATTTTCAATATCTGCCCCANCCTATTATTGTTACTATTGTTAGCCAGAAATTCCTAATTATTTTTTACTACTATTAACCAGAAAAATCACAATTATTGTTACTATTATTAGCCAGAAATTACCTATTATTGTTACTATTGTTAGCCAGAAAAATCACAATTATTATTGTTATTCTTATTAGCCAGAAAATCCACAATTTTTATTAGCCAGAAGTTCCCAATTATGGTCATTGTTATTAGCCAGAAATTCGCAATTATTGTAACTATTGTTAGTCAGAAATTCCCAATTATTGTTACTATTATTAACCAGAAATTCCCAATTATTGTTATCCCTATTACCCAGAAATTCACTATTATCTTTATTCTTATTAGCCAGAAAATCACAGTAATTGTCAAAATTATTGTTACTATTATTTGCCAGAAATTCCTAATTATTGTTACTATTATTAGCCAGAAATTCACAATTATTATTATTCTTATTAGCCAGAAATTCCTAATTATTGTTACTATTGTTAGCCAGAAAAATCACTATTATTGTTACTAGTATTAGCCAGAAATTCCTAATTATTGTTACTATTGTTAGCCAGAAATTCCCAATTATTGTTATCCCTATTACCCAGAAATTCACTATTATCTTTATTATTAGCCAGAAAATCACAATAATTGTCAAAATTATTGTTACTACTATTAGCTAGAAAATCACAATTATTGTTACTATTGTTAGCCAGAAATTCGCTATTATTATTATTATTATTATTATTATTATTAGCCAGAAATTCCCAATTATTGTTACTATTACTAGCCAGAAATTAACATTTATTTTTATTATTATTAGCCAGAAATTCCCAATTATTGTTACTACTATTAGCTAGAAATTCCCAATTATTGTTACTATTGCTAGCCAGAAAAGTCACAATTATTATTGTTATTCTTATTAGCCAGAAAGTCACAATTATTGTTATTATTGTTAAACAGAAATTCCCAATTATTGTTACCATTATTTGACAGAAATTCACATTTATTTTTATTATTATTAGCCAGAAATTCCTAATTATTGTTACTATTATTAGCCAGAAAAATCACAATTATTATTGTTATCCTTATTAGCCAGAAAGTCACAATTATTGTTACTACTATTAGCCAGAAATTCCCAATTATTGTTACTATTATTAGCCAGAAATTCCCAATTATTGTTACTATTGCTAGCCAGAAAAATTACAATTATTGTTACTATTATTAGCCAGAAATTCCCGATTATTGTTACTATTATTAACCAGAAATTCACTATTATTGTTATTCCTATTACCCAGAAATTCACTATTATCTTTATTCTTATTAGCCAGAAAATCACAATAATTGTCAAAATTATTGTTACTATTATTAGCCAGAAATTCCCAATTATTGTTACTATTGTTAGCCAGAAAATCACAATTATTGTTACTCCTATTAGCTAGAAATTCCCAATTATTGTTACTATTATTAGCCAGAAATTCCTAATTATTGTGACTACTATTAGCCAGAAATTCACTATTATTGTTATTCTCATTAGCCAGAAATTCCCAATTATTGTTACTATTGTTAGCCAGAAATTCCCAATTATTGTTATTCTTATTAGCCAGAAATTCACTATTATCTTTATTCTTATTAGCCAGAAAATCACAATAATTGTCAAAATTATTGTTACTATTATTAGCCAGAAATTCATTACTATTGTTACTATTGTTAGCCAGAAAAATCACAATTATTGTTACTACTATTAACCAAAAAAATCACAATTATTGTTATTATTATTGGCCAGAAATTCCTAATTATTGTTACTACTATTAGCCAGAAATTCCCAATTATTGTTACTACTATTAGCCAGAAATTCCTAATTATTGTTACTATTATTAGCCAGAAAAATCACAATTATTGTTACTATTATTAGCCAGAAATTCACTATTATTGTTACTATTATTAGCCAGAAATTCCTAATTATTGTTACTATTATTAGCCAGAAATTCCCAATTATTGTTACTACTATTAACCAGAAAAATCACAATTATTGTTACTACTATTAGCCAGAAATTCCCAATTGTTGTCACTACTATTAGCCAGAAATTCACTATTATCTTTATTCTTATTAGCCAGAAAATCACAATAATTGTCAAAATTATTGTTACTATTGTTAGTCAGAAATTCCCAATTATTGTTACCATTATTCAACAGCAATTCACATTTATTTTTATTATTATTAGCCAGAAATTCCCAATTATTATTCTTATTAGCCAGAAATTCCCAATTATTGTTACTATTATTAGCCAGAAAAATCACAATTATTGTTACTACTATTAGCCCGAAATTCACAATTATTATTATTCTTATTAGCCAGAAATTCCCAATTATTGTTACTATTGTTAGCCAGAAAAATCACAATTATTATTGTTATTCTTATTAGCCAGAAAGTCACAATTATTATTAGCCAGAAGTTCCCAATTATTGTTACTACTATTAGCCAGAAATTCCTAATTATTGTTACTATTATTAGCCAGAAATTTCTAATTATTGTTAATATTATGAGCCAGAAATTCCCAATTATTGTTACTACTATTAGCCAGAAATTCCTAATTATTGTTACTACTATTAACAAGAAAAATCACAATTATTGTTACTATTATTAGCCAGAAATTCACTATTATTGCTACTGCTATTAGCCAGAAATTCCTAATTATTGTTGCTACTATTAACCAGAAAAATCACAATTATTGTTACTATTGTTAGCCAGAAATTTCCAATTATTGTGACTACTATTAGCCAGGAATTCCTAATTATTATTATTCTTATTAGCCAGAAATTCCTAATTATTATTATTCTTATTAGCCAGAAATTCCTAATTATTGTGACTACTATTAGCCAGAAATTCACTATTATTATTATTCTTATTAGCCAGAAATTCACTATTATTGTTATTATTATTAAATGGAAATTCACAATTATTATTACCCACAATTTCACTATTATAATTATTATTAGCCCAAAATTAATAATAATTAAAAGTTGCCCAAAACTGTCAATCCTCACACTCAAACATTCAATTAATTTCCAACTCCCTAATCAATGTTTTATGGATAATTTCATTAATTACACAGTTTAATTAGTGAGGCCTGCCAACAAACCTCTGTGCAACGTGAAATAATTTGATTTTTTGAAACTTTTTCAGCATTAATTAATGCAGAATTAATTGACTTACATTGAAAAGATCCATATCAGCAACCTGGTACGCTGGGGAGCCCAAAACTTTGGGAGGCAATTCCTTGACAGTGATGTCAATGAGAGACTGTGGAGAAAATTAAAAAAAAATTACATTTAAATATATTTTTGATGAGGGTTCAAGTGGTTTAAGCAAAATATAATAAGTACAAATAAAATATAAAAAATGCAACCCCCTGCAAAATTACAAAAATCACAAAAAATATACGAAAAAATACAAAAAAACCCCAAAAATACAAATAAAATACAAAAATATATAAAATACAAAACCCATATAAAAAACCCATCAAATCCCCTAAAATACAAAAATTACAATCAAAAACACAAAAAACAAAAAACCCCCAAAATTTACAAAATAACCAAAACAACAAAAATAACACCAAAAAATGAAATTAAAAAAAAAAAACAAACAAAAAAAAATTACCAAAAAAACCCAAAAAGGGACAAGAAATACAAAAAATTATCAAAAAATACCAACACCCCCAAAATACAAAAAAAAATACGAAAAATATCAATGAGAGATTGTGGAGGAGAAAATTAAAAAAATTACATTTAAATATATTTTTGATGAGGGTTCAAGTGGTTTAAGCAAAATATAATAAGGACAAATAAAATATAAAAAATGCAACAAAAAATTACAAAAAAAATACCAAAAAATTTACAAAAAATACCAAAAAAATTTTACAGAAAATACCAAAAAATGTACAAAAAAATACAAAAAAATAACAAAAAAAACCCCCAAAATTTTACAAAAAATACCAAAAATTTTACAAAAAAATACAAAAAAATTTTACAAAAAATACAAAAAAAATTTACAAAAAATACCCCCAAAATTTTACAAAAAATACCAAAAAAAATTACAAAAAACACAAAAAAATTAGAAAAAAAAATTAGAAAAAAATTAGAAAAAATTACAAAAAATTTACAAAAAATACCAAAAAATTTTACAAAAATACCAAAAAATTTACAAAAAATACAAAAAAATTTACAAAAAAACCCCCAAAAATTTTACAAAAAATACCAAAAAAATCCACAAAAAATACCAAAAAAATTTTACAAAAAATACCAAAAAATTTTACAAAAAATACCAAAAAATTTACAAAAAATACAAAAAAATTTACAAAAAATACCAAAAAATTTTACAAAAAATACCAAAAAAAATCCACAAAAAATACAAAAAAAATTACAAAAAATAATTACAAAAAATTCCCCCAGGAAGGTTTCCAAGGTGGATTTTTTCAGGCAGAACTCACCAGGACTTTGTGCACGGGCAGGGAATTGGAGCTCACAATTTTCTTTAAGGCCTGAAGCAACATGGTCAGAACTTCTGAGCCTCCCTTCTCTTTCTTATTGCCTAAAATTAAATAAAATTAATTAAAATTAATTAAAAATTAAATTTAAAAGAATTCAAATCCTTTANTGCTGCTCCCTGAGTTACCTGCTCGAAGTTGGAGGGCAGGTGAGGCCCCAGCCTGACCAGCAAATACCACCAGACCTCCAGCTTGGTCAGGGCCAGCGCCTCCGTCCTCACGTGGATGGAGCTCAGGGGCTGCATCAGCAGCTTCAGCCTCTTGGCACTGCACAGGATGTCTGGGGGAGCCAAAAGGGGCATTTGAAACAAGCAAAGCTCAGCAAAATCTAATTAAACCATTGTTTTTTTTCTAATATCTTTTAGTTTCTAATTCAATTAACAGTAATTTGCAAAACTCAACCACACCAACCTTTGAAATTCTCTTACTGCTCCAAGCAGAGCTCCCTTGCAACAGAGAATGCATTATATTAAGGTAATATAATATAAGGTAATATAATATAAGGTAACATAATATAAGGTAATATAATATATTAAGGTAATATAATATAAGGTAATGTATTATTATATAATGTAATATAATGTAATGCGACATTACGTCGCATTACATTATATTACATTATATAATAATACATTACCTTATATTATTAAAATTATTCAGGTCATTAAAATTGGTCCTCAAACTGNTATATATAAATATATAAAGTCCAGAATATACTTAACAATGCAAACTTTTTCTTATTTTTAAAATAGGAAACTATATAAATATATAGTATAAATGTATATAGATGCATAAATATAAACTTTTATACATTTGCAGACTCTACAGTTTACTATGGAAGAGAATTTCAATGAAAAAAAATTAGGCAAAATTTAAATTTTTGTCTTAATTTCTAAATTCTAAAGACTTGAGGGGGATTTTTTCATTTGGAATTGCTTTAAAATAGAACAGAATTATTGATTCAGACTGAACCCAAGCAATGAACAATGAAAAATTTAAATTTTTGTCTTCATTTCTAAATTCTAAAGATTTGAGGGGGAGTTTTTAATTTGGAATTGCTTTAAAATAAAACAGAATTATTGATTCAGACCAAACCCAAGCAATGAACAATGAAAAATTTAAATTTTTGTCTCCATTTCTAAATTCTAAAGACTTGAGGGGAAGTTGTTTTTAATTTGGAATTGCTTTAAAATAAAGCAGAATTATTGATTCAGCCTGAACCCAAGCAATGAACAATGAACAATTTCTAGGCAAATGGAAGAAAATTCCCTTTTTTACCTGCTTCAATTGCTGCTCTTACAAATCCATTGATGTCCTTCCAGATAACGCTCAGCAAACAATCTGCAAGGGAACAATGGCTTTATTCAGTTTGCAATAAAAATATTCAATAAAACAGCAGTGAAAATCAGATTGAAGCCAGAACTCAAATTTCAATGCAATCAGACCAATTGTATTTTTTACAATATCAGGACATCACAAAAATATTGATTTCTGATGCTGCAATAAAAACATTCAACAAAACTGCAGCTAAAATCAAATTGTGCTAAAGGACAGGTTTGGATTGAAGAACTCAAATTTCAATGCAATCAGAGCAGTTGTATTTTTTACAACATTAGGACATCACAAAAATGTTGATTTTTTTATGCTGCAATAAAAACATTCACTAAAACTGCAGCGAAAATCAAATTGAAGCCAGAACTCAAACTTCAATGCAATCAGAGCAGTTGCATTTTTTACATCAGGACATCCCACAAGTGCTGATTTCTGATGTTGCAATAAAAACATTCAATAAAACTGCAGCGAAAATCAGATTGTGTTCAAGGACAGGTTTGAATTGAAGAACTCAAACTGCAATTCAATCAGAGCAGTTGCATTTCAATGCAATCAGAGCAGTTGCATTTTTTACACCAGGACATCCCACAGGTGCTGATTTCTGTGTTTCCCTTCCCCAGCTGATTTCCCAGCAAACATTGAATTTCCCCTGGAATTCTCACCAGGAACCTCCTTGCCCACGGCCACCACGCCGTCCCGCACGGCGCAGAGCAGGGTGCCCGCGTGCTTGCAGAAGAAGGAAGGGCTGCAGAGCAGGGGGTGCTGCAGGGGCTCTGCAAGGACACAGAAATAAATCCATAAATATCTGAGTGCTGAGGAAAGAAAGCTTAAAAATAACCAAGGATTTGTTATTACAAATTATTACAAGTATTTGTATTTACAGCATTGTTAACGTAAAGGGATCACAAAACTGACAGCAGTTATTAACAGAAAACATTTAAGATTACACAAAGATGTTTTTACAGGTAAATATATATATATATATAATATAAACTGTATAATTAGAAATGGAAATAGATAAAAATATAAGATAAATGTTTATAAATATGAAATTATTAAGTGATATAAAAACAAATATATAATTATAAATTATATATAGAAATATAAAAACATATATAAAACATCATATTATATATAAAAGTATATAATAGTATATAATTATATTATATCTAAAATTATATTGTATTATATTATATATTATAATAATATATAATATATATAATATATATAAATACTATATATATAGTATTTTTATATATATGGACACTATATATACTATATATAAATACTATTATAATAATGTATAATATATATAAATACTATTATATATTATAATAACATTAAAATAATATACATAATTAATTAACATTTAGTAATTTAATAATATTAAAATTCTTTAATAATTACAGTAACTTAATATTATTATAATTATTAAAAAATATTATAATATCGAAATATTATATATAAAACATGATATATTGTATATAAATATATAAAATATTAGAATATTGAAATATAACATATATATGTAGTATATATATATGTAATATATATGTATATTTGTATATATATATATGTATATGTAATATATATGTGTATATGTATATATATGTATATATAATATATATGTATATGTAATATATATATGTATATATATATGTGTATATATATGTATATGTAATATATATATGTATATATGCCTATGTTATATATATTCTATATTCTATCTAAAGCTAGTATATTCCCTATAAACCACAGCTATAAACCCCACCTACCCAAGCTGAGCACCAGTTTGTTGTCCCGGGCGAACTCTCCTGCGCGCGGCCCCATCAGGAAGTGCAGCAGCATCTCCATGCCCAGCAGCTGGATGGAGGGGCAGAGCTGTGCCCCTGCCGGGCTGCCCAGCGCCGCCCTGGGC